TTGGGTTTCTGGCATGATGGACTCTTGTGACGAGCCGAATGACAGATTATGGAAGCAGCTAGCTTCCTCCCTTATTTTGGGCTTACCAGGGGTTGTAAAAATCTTATATATAACTTTTGTGATACAACTTGCAATCTTTAGCTTGTCACACCACAGGGCTGGCTCTAGGCTAGGGCCACCAAAATTGCAAAGACTTCAAGTTCAAAAAACAAAATTAAAAAGAGCTAAAAGCAGTAATGGTGCACTCTGTGACCCAGCACTTTTGCTCAAGAGTTAAATATAATTCTGCAAAATTGCTGCCAGACAACGAGTAGTGACTTAATTTAAAAAAATCTGCTATTCACTGATGTCTGAATCTTGGAGATTCCCTGTACAAGTCTATGCAGTTTTCTTTGCAAGATTTCAGAAATGGTTTGATATTGCCTTCTTCCTAGGGCTGAAAGAAATTGACAGGCCCAAGGTCACCCAGATGGATTTGTGCCTAAGTGAAAGAGGGCAGGAGGGGTGACACAGTATCCTGGTTTTTAGTTAGTTGCCTTAACCACTACACTAAACTGATTGTAATAATTAAAATTACTTACAGGTAAATAGGATGAAAATAGTGCATATCATTGTTTTGGAGTCTACATTCAAAGTCAATTTGATCAAATTTCTGAATCAAATTAACCTGAATCAATTTGGAAGACTATTTACTTTTCTGAATTGAGATAAGGGGTTAAATAGTACTGAATTGATTGCTGATATGGAAGTAATGCTTTGAAATGATATTTTTAAAAATCCCCTACTGTATTTGAATAGGATTGGACCTGATTTCCTTATTTATAATAAACATGTTTTTCACTGGATGGTTTGAACTGATGTTTCACTGTTCATAAAGTTTGCATTTTTAACAAAGGTAATAATAGATGCGAGGTGAGCTTTGCCAAAAAGGAACATTAAAATTTCAGATCAAGAAATAATTTTGTATTTATAGAATGGTTTTTTGTGATTTCTTTAACTTATACAAGTCTTCTTTTAATTTATATAATGAAATGTGGATTTTATTTATGCCCAAAGCAGTTGAAGAAATTTAACAAGCCACTTCAAAAGTATATTTCTGTGCCGCATTACATCAGATGGCAACTGTGATGTTTCTGATCTAGAAGGACTCAGGACAATTACTCATGTTTGGTTATCTTGTGGATGGACTATTGCAATGCAATCTACTTGGGGCTGTCCTTGAAAACTACATGGAAGCTGCAGCTACTTTGAAATAAACAGCCCAGGCAGTTATGGGCAAACCATCATAACATTTGTGTTCTGTTGCTTCTGAATGCAAATCAGAGTGCTGATTATCACTCTAAGATACCTGGTTTCTGAAATACCATGAGGCACTGTGAAGAAGGGGATTATAATAAATTTGGTAAATAAATATATATCATGCAGTGACATGGTAATATAACATAATCTCAGTTCTGTTCATAAACAATATTAGTAGATTTTCGCACATCTCTTATATCTCTGTACCTTAACAGATTACAAACTTGTCACATGTAGTATTTATACTTTGATATGTTCTTTTAAAATATTTAAAATATTTTGAGATCAGTCCAATACAATGAGATTTAACAAATTATAGAAATAATCATAATGTATAGCAAATAGAATATAGAAATAAAATATCAGCAAAACATTAGACATAATGAAATCAGAAGAACAACCTAACTATAAATCATACAATATATTTCTTGTTTTGTCAATAACTACCTTACTATCATTCAGAGTCTTAGAAGCTGGACATGTTTGTAAACAAATACATCATTTAATTACAAAAGAATTGCTGATTATGTAGCAGTTTTGCCCTTGGCAAAATTCAGAAATACAACCCTTATTTCTAAACATAAATTCTGCATAATTTTTCCAATAATATTACATATGTTATAATAATTAATATTTATTAGCACATTATACATCTAAGTGTGTCCAAGTAGCCATATATTATTTTTAAAAGCAGATTTAGAAACAAAACATGTAAAGATTATATTAATATAAAGGAGATGAGAAGGAGGAGGAGCAAGAGGAAGAGGAGCCATTTTCCATATTGATTTGGGCTTGTTTTTGTTCAATACAGCAGTGTGATTTCTTTTCTTGTGTGGTATCCTACAGTCTAAATATGCAGCTGTCATCCTAAGTACACATCTAGAATATCATCTGTAAATGTATAAGTGGGGAAGGTATACAAAATGGTTCTTAAGGAAAAGGAAATTCAACTTTCTTTTGGCCAAGCCCAGCCAATGGATACTCATATGGTAAAAGTTATACCTATTGGTTCATCATGCCATTGAAATATAAGCCATGGAACTAAGTGGAAACGGCAGGAGGATTTTAATGAACAATCAGATTGCTGACATTGCTCATTTAAAATAAATTTCCAGTCAGCCTGTATCCATACTGATCATCTCTAAGAGAAGGATCTGTGGATTTCAGGGCTCTTAAAAAGTCCCCCCCCCCCTTTTCACTCTCCCAAGAAATTATCTAACAGAAACTATAGCTGGTGTTAACGGATCAGAATTTTTAGATCAAGACTTGGTCTTTTGAAAATATTTAAAACATAGAACAAAGTTGCTGTTAATTTATCTTTCTTTCAGAGTCTCCAAATATGCCTCTAATAAAAGCCTGTATTTAGCTTGGATCTTTTTCTGAATTCTTTGACTATACTTAGAATTGCAATCATACTTATCATAATAATTATGCTTGAAAAAAGGCAGTCAGATTTAAACAGCTGTTATCTACCAAAGCAGAATACTCAAGTATTTAAAGAAACATAGACAAAAAAAATCTTTGGCAGAAACAATAATTCTTTGAAGTTAAATTGTTACATGCAATAAATAATAAGTATTTGTCTATATTTGGGACTGTTTAACATTGTTTAGATTGGCAGCCATGTCTCTTCAAGAGTATGAACAGCTTTACAGCAAAACCTATACAGCAGACCATTAAATTAAATTAAATTAATTAAATTGTAACTTTTTCCTTCAGTATAAAGCTTTGAGACCTTAAATGCAGCCTTCCATTTTCATTCTCTTTTGTAGATCTTATATATCATTTTACATCTGCCTTGTTTCCTTTTAAACTTTTTCTATTTTGTCAAAATTATTAAGCATGTCTGACTGTATACATGCAGCTGAGAAAAATATTGTCTCTCACGTCACACAAACAAGCTCCTCAAATGGTCCCCCCCCAACAAACTGAATAAAAATATGTAAAAGCTTGCTTTAACTCCAAATACGCATGCTCAACATCAGAAGGAGGAATATGATTGTCTCACCCGTAACAAAACAGTCAAGAATTTATTTACCGCCAAATGTCTTAGTTTCAATAACCAAAATGCCATCGTGACAGAAGAGAGCACTCAGATCTTTCATTTCAACGCCATCTGGCAGTTTATATTGCCGAGTGAAACTTCTTGCTACAAAGCCCTGTTCATCCATCCTGGGTCCATGCTGAGCTTTGATTAGGAGCCATCCTTCAAAGACTTGTATTATGACATCTTCAGGACGAAACTGCACTACATCCAGTAAGGCTTGAAATCTGGGGGTTGCTTCATCTGTGCTTCCCTGCTCTGTTTCAGCCGCTCTCTTGGATGCACCAATGTTCCTTATCTGCGCTGGCCATGCTGGACTTGGCAATGCAAACAAGGAGTGGTTTAATTTGCAGGCTTCCAAATCTTGATCAGGAAAATGCTCCTGATACCGTATTGGAGTTTCCACCCGGTGGCGTAGAACAACTTTTTCCATTGAGGAGATAGTGCTGATAATCTCTTTGAACACAACAGGCTCCTGAGATAATGCCGTCTTTCGAGCTGTTTCTCCTCTTGCCTACTAGTTGATCAGCTCAGGCAGCTTCATATTTTTAGCTCTGTCAGAGCTTATCACTTTTCTGGGTGTGACTAAAAACCCTGCCATACACTACATCTTTGGAAATGTTGACAATTGAGTTCTAATTATAGAAGCTGTAGCTGTTGCAGAGATTTTTATTTTCAGCAGATATCATTCAAGTTGTATTACTGTTGTTGTTTCAGAGATACATAATTATACTTATACATGTAATATCCAAATCACAACAGTTCACTTAGTGACTGTTCAAAGTTGTGACATAACCATCTCCCCAAGTACTTACAACATAGTCCCGAGGTTACAAATGTTGCAGCACCATGGCAGTCGTTCATCCTTACGAACGACTGCAGAGACACTGCAACATTTGCACTGACTATTCCGCCCCTCCACTGGGCCTGCCTGTGGAGACTCACCTTGTGAAGATCTAGCAAGCTGTCTCCTCTCCAGCCTCTCTTTGCTTCCTCCCAGCACTCTAAAAGTGGAGCAGTGAGAACAGAGGGAGAGCAGGATGAGTGTGCCCAGCTCTCTCTGACTCACTGAGACTGTCTGCCACTTCTGGAGTGGCGGACAGCCTTGGTGTGTTTCCTCCAAAAGCTTCCAGTCTTGGCGCGGAAAAACATTTGCACTCTGATGGGAGGCTTTGGGGCAGCAAAATTGCGTTGCTTCAAGCCTCCCATTGGCATGCAAATACTTTTCGCGCACAGACTGGAAGCTTCTGAGTGCCTTGATCTCATGGGACTTCAGGCACCCATTCTCTGCAAAAGTGGATAGGAGCCTGAAGTCATGTGAGATCCCCAGAAGCTTCCAGTCTCCAGGTGAAAAGTGTTTGTTGTCAGCAAGGAATATGGCTGCAGGCCTGACATTTGTATGCAGATAGGGCTCTTTGAAGCAGCACAATTTTGCCACCCCAAAGCACCCCATTGATGTGCAAACGAAGCTTCTAGTGTCTGGGTGAAAAGTTTCTGAGTGATGATGGGGAACTTTGAGGTGATGAATCTTCATTTGTGTTCCAATGGGGTGGCGAAGCTTCATTTGAGCACTAATAGGATGCTTTGAGACCCTAACCCTAACCCAAGACTCTAGGAAGCTGTTACGTTCCTTAGTAGTGTTCATGGTCAGGAAATTATTCATTTTGACTTTGGATCTCTCTGTAAAGCTTCAATCTATTAATTCTTAGACTACCCCAAGGCATTGTGAATAAATCCATACTCTTCTCTCTGTGACAATTCCTCAGGTATTGGAAGACAACTATGGTGTTTCCCTTTGTCTTGTCATCTTTGCAGTGGTATTCAGCAGGTTCTGACCAGTTCTGGAGAACCGATAGTGGAAATTTTGAGTAGTTCAGAGAACCAGCAAATACTACCTCTGACTGGGCCCACCCTCATCTATTATCTGCCTCCCGACTTCCAGCTGATCTGGAGGGAATGGAGATTTTACAGTATCCTTCCCCTGCCACACCCACCAAGCCATGCCACGCCCACCCAGCCACACCCACAGAACCAGTAATAAAAAAAATGAATCCCACCACTGCTTCTTTGGCTAAACATACACAACGATCCTTTTAACCATTCTTCATAAAATTTAGCTTCTCATCATCTTTGCTGCTTTCTCTGTTCCTGTCTTTCGATTCCTCATGCATCCTTGTGTTTTGTATTATTCACAAGAAGTACTTCAGGCATTGTGCAAATAAAAATGCAACACTTCACTGCTACTTGTTTAAGTAGTTTCATTTTTTGCTGGCTTGTATGAAAACCTGAAAGAAATGTGCGTAGGCTTCACGGAACCTATGCATTAAAGTTAATGCTACTATTAAAGCAATGGTACCATTCTCCCAGATAATTATAGAAGCTTGACAAAAACTAAGTTAATGTATATCTGAGAACTGATGTGCTTATGTGAAGTATGTAGCTTTTCTAAGTCATTTTTGAAATCTCCACAACCACAACAAAGAATGTTTGGGACATTTATTTGAATTTACAGTGTATACATTAGGATATACTGCATATATCAGGTTTTGTAGGAAGCTCAGCTCTTAATCTCAATTCTTCAAACATAATCCTTTATTCAGAAATTGGTTTATTGAGCAGAAGGCTCTCAGACACAACTGGATAAGATTAACTTATTTATTGCAGACAAGATGAAGCCATATACACCCAAAAAACCTACCTACTGCAGAACATGGAAATGAAAGCGCGCACGCACGCACACACACACACACAAACACAATAATAAATTATATATATAATATAGACATTATATATATATA